AAATCTTCTTCGAGATCTTTTCACTTCAGATCACCTGAATCTATGTCTATCTACAAGACTGTAATTGTAGAGGGAGAGACTAGAGTGTACGTTTTTCAACCCTAATTTATCATTCGAATCGACTACCCAAGGTCAAGAACACTGATGGAATTAATGTGCCCGGCCCAACCATGCTCAGCCAGCTGCAGACAGCTACTGAAAATTACTTCGACAACAGGAAGGTACTGTGTCGTAGACCTCAAAATTGTGTTATGCAGACCTCAAAATTAGGATAGTCGACAGTTCAAAATAAAGTTTCTGGTTATATATGCTTGTGTTGTTGTTGCCATTCATTCAACAGCTAGCCAAGCGGGCGCTTTCAGGCTTTAGTTTGATCAGTTAAATGCTATTTGAGAACAGCAAGTGCCGATTCGATTTCATCATGGGAAAGTTAGGAGGATTTAGTGATTGAATTCGTGTTGCGTGCATGATGCATGGATGCTATTTCATCAAAATGGCAAACCTGAAACTTGAAGCAAACTCTGGGAATGGGATACTTATTATAAAGTAGGTACGTTTGATGTGTTCCATGCATAGTGGTCTGGGCCCTAGCTAGCTAATATGGGTGCAGTGCAGTGAGTGACTAAGACTATGACCAAATGAAGCCTTACTATAATTTTTCAAAGATGTGGATATCATGGTTTTACGTGGGATAATGAAGATATAGAGGACCACAAGCTATAGCCCATCGGTGGCATTGCAGATATATCAAAGGGTGGCCCAGCTACATACCTTAAAAGATAGCTTCAAGCCTTCAAATATCAATATCAAGATCAAGAGTAATGGGAGGTGAACAACAGCGCAAACGTCTCAGAATCTAAGACCCCCTCCCCTGCTTGCTTGGCTTCGCTTGTCACCTAACTTTTTGGCATAGCATGCGCATGCGTATGCGCAACCCATACATACTATATATAATATATATATACACAAACGATGCTAAAGTTGCAAAATTCTATAGAAAGTCCACATCTATGGTCTATATATGACACCCTCATTATAGAACGACTCTGCTAAAGTTATCTATTGTTATAATAGAACAAGTGGCCTAAATCGAATCCTATCTTCGCCTCGTCACACTTTTGATCGATAGAATTAGACACTCACAAAAGTTTAAAAAATGAACATCCTCTATCTTCTTCTACTTATATTTTATTTTATTTCTTCTTCTTTTTTGGATTCTTTTTCCAAAACTGAGATTATTGGAGATTAAACCTAAGATCTTTAGTTGCAAGTCAAGATTCTTTTTCCACTAAGCTAGACCCTATTGGCCTTTAATAGATATCTTTGACAAATAAAAAAGATGTATTTCCAACAACTTTTGGCAGAAGCCGTAATGATTTTCACTGCTGGCAATGGTCCACTCTAGGCCCACCTTGTCTAATCATGATCATGCACCTTTGGGTTCATATTTAGATCTGAGTGGTGTTAGCTGGAGCTGGGGCCTCATATAGGACTGGGTCTGGGTCGACATGTATACTTCATGATTGTGTCGCATGGAATGCAATTTGGCCGGCCCATCTTGACCCAAATGATAAAGCCCAAGCTGGAATGAGGTTTGGGCAACCCAGAATGAACCTTGTCGTAACTTATAAGTTACAAGGCAAACCTTGACCAAGTAAAGACAATATTTAAAATTACAAGTAATGGTAATAAAAAGTCTTTAACTTGACGTGATGGCATTCTTGGTTTCCAAATAAAAAGGCAGACCAATGGCATTGGCAATGACATTGACATCCTTTGGGACCGTGAGTGATAAACAATATGAACAATAAGATTAAGAGGTTGTTGAATTGAAGACTTATGTAATAAGTTAAGAAGAGTAATCCTTCTACAGAATTCCATGATGCACATTAAATTTGTAGGTCAATGTAATAGGCTTCTTACTTATTGTCTTTTTCAGTGATTCGAAAGGAGTTGTTAGGTTCAGCTTAGCTATAAGATAGGGTCTTCCATTAGCTAGTCATAATCTCACCAACTCCACGAAAGAAAGATTGAGAGACATGCATGCATCATTCATCATTCATCATTGTCATTGATATATACATATACATACCACCCCTCTCCCTTCCCTTGTGTTTCCTTTTCCAACTCTTATTTATTGAAGGCTCATAATTCCAAGAATGGGTAAGCTTCCACTAAAAGAGGAATAGCATTTATATACATATTAACACTCACATTTTACATTGTTATTGGCAAGAATGTAGGAGTTCCTACTTACCTGATAAGGAGGAAAGTATTTTCCAATACTAAATATGGTATAAGTTATAAGGAGGGGAAAAGAAAAGATGGAAGATGAGCTTGATGAAGAACTTGATTGGTGTGTGTATGTTGACACGTTCAACTTAGGGTTAAAGAAGTTAAACAAACATTTCAATTGTTTTGTATGAATGAATATAAAATTTATGAGACAAGATTGAAAGGCAGGCTAATTAACGTCATGCTTTGTGTTGTGGTATGTTTTTGGTTTGAATGTCGACTCAAATTGAGATTTGGCTAGTACATACGTACATAGATGGATTTTACTCAACTTTAGAGGCGGAAAGGGCATTGCATTCATCTTATATATAATATATAAAGATTTGAAGTTTGAAAAATCCATTATAATATGCATGATGGTATAAAATATCATATACAACGGCATCAATCGATCAATCAATAGCTTCTTATACATGAATCATGACCTTGTTGTTGCATAGAGTTACTTGGAAGACAGATACTACAAAACTACATATAGATATATAAATAAATAGGGAATTGGTCGTCCTCTATATAAATATTAAATCACAATCTTGAGTTTACATATGGAATCCTAAATGTTTTTTTACTTCAATAAAGAACGCTTCATATTGAATTTATTATCTCCGTACATTTTAGACCTACGGCATTTGCGTTGACAGTTGATCTTTTCTATTTCGTGGGAAAGGATTCCAATTCTCAATTTTTATTTTTATTTTGGGTTTATAAATTCAATATATCCGTACAGTACAATCCTTAATGATTGCATATGAAAGATAGAAGACCAGGCCTTTTAGCTTTGGCAGCGAACATGCATAAATATTGCTTGCTTGCTTGCTTATAAGGAAAGGAAAGGAAAGGAAGGAGAGAGGTGTTTACTTTGAGTTGAAAGAACCCACACCATTTAACCAAGGTGGTTGGTGTGAGTGGTTCGACACTCTCATTCCTTAAGAGAAGGTCAGAAGTTCGATTCCTGCTCTCGTATGGAATCACCACTTTGGCCAGCACTTTACCCCTTACGGGCCGACCCGGTGTGAGTAGGGATTAGTCTGAGTTGTGATTAAGGCTTAAAGGTGTCACTCATAGTTATGGCCCATTCAAGACCACTTCGTGGTTCAGACCAAAAAAAAGAACCCACACCATTTGAAGTTTAATGGCCTTTTTGTTTCAATTCAATTAACTCCTCCTCCTACTCTACTCCTGGAATCTAGACGAAAACAATTCTTTTGTGATTGAGTTGACTAGACCTGTTCTTCTCACATATAAACAAAAACGTCAGCCTTATGTATATATATACGTCACCTAAATTAATGGACATATTGGATACATGAATATATAACAAAAATAATAATAGTAAAAATAATTGACATCAATATATGCAACTGATATTTTTTTAATTATTAGTTAAATAAATGGGCTAACTCAGTTCAGCTGTACAAGACATGCATTCACATTCATACATGGAGATAAGACAAGATGCCGCTCTGCAAACCAAACAAAACTCTTTTAGATTCTTTCACACACACACACAAAACATTTTTTTTATCCAGTGTTGACCAAATAAAAGAAATATTACATCAATTAATTTAACAATTTCACTTGAAACATGTGGCTGAGTAATTATTGATATTTTACATTCAGAGTATGATCACGTGGTATAACTCATACACGTATTATAATATAAATGAATATTCATATTATAACATATTAACGAATTATATAACGTGGTCATATTTATAATAACATATAATAATTTCTCCCATTTCCATGTGTTTTTCCCAGAAAAAAAACAAAAATGTCCCTTGCGGGAATATTGCCTTGTTTTTTGTGGGGGGAGGGGGGCCACGTGGACCGAGATACGGCGGGAATGCATGAAGACAAACGAAGGTGATGGAACGGCTGCCGGGGCTGCCCAGCTGGTAAATTAAAAGGAATGGGTGTCTTCGACGGGGCCTGTGGGTCCCCCACGTGACATTGTGTCAAAGCCGATACGAGGCCGTTTGGGTTTGGTTTGACCAGCGAGGCTTCAAGTCAATGTTATCTCTCTCACCTGCCCTGTTCAACCATAAACCTAATCTCAACCTATCCCAGCATCTCCTGTTCCAGTACGCGTCTAGGGGAAAGTACAAAACGTAGCGTTTTAGCCGAGGCAGTAGGAATGTAGAATGTGTGAGTGAGTCAATTGACTTGGTTTTTCCACCCATTCGATACATACGTACTGCAGCTTGAGTGGTACTTTTTGACCGCCTTTAGTGCCTTTGACTTTTGTCAGTCTGAAGTCTTTATCTTTTAGTGCACCCAGCTAGGGGCCTTGTCCTTTGGCTTTGGTTTGTGGAAATTACAAGGGCAGATCAGATGTTGTTGCCTTCAACTATCATATGCATTAAAACACAACATCTATAACGTATGGCACGGTGAAGAAGACTTTGGACACAGCCGACCGACTATTTCTGTCTCTGTGTGATTCCTTAATCGAAATCACCATGAAATTCCACATGTCCCTGTTGTTGAAACGTTGAATGGATTGAAGACCAAGTTGGCAAAGGCAGGTGTGAAAAGGGAAGGTGGTTCTCCAAACGGCATATAGCATATTTTTCAAAGGAAAGAAAACAAACGAAAAACAGGGAAAGTTCAAACCACTTATGTGATAGAAAATATGGCAGCATTGGAAGCTTCCCCAAGACCAGCCAACAACCTAACACCACCAACTCTTATAATAACACCCTCTTCAAACCCGCAACTTCCAATCACAACGCTTTCCAACAATTTCCTCCTTCCTAAAACGCTTGTTTTAGAAAAACTCACAAACCAGAACAGCTCACTTCTTCTCTCTTTAAAATACACCAAACCTGTTTATCAAAACAATAACAAAACCATTTCAGATTTTCAATTTCATTGCAACACACCATGGCCGGCATGTTGAGACTTGCCATGGCCTTCTCTGTTTTGCTCTCTCTGTCTCTGCCATCATCCCATGCCCAAACCGCTGCTTGTGGAAACTACAAATTTACAAGCAACAAGATCTTCACCTCCTGCAGCGACCTTCCCTACCTCAACTCTTTCCTCCATTGGACCTTTGAACAATCAACCGGGAAACTTCAAATGGCGTACAGACACACAGGGATCACAACCTCAAACTGGGTCGCGTGGGCCATCAACCCAAACCAAAACAGTGAATCGTCAGCCATGGTTGGTGCTCAATCTCTGGTTGCTTTTCAGCAATCCAATGGAACCACCAGGGTCTACAAGTCGCCTATCAGCAACTACCAGACCAATTTGGCGGAGGGAAATCTGGAATACGACGTTTCTGATTTGTCAGCCGAGTATTTGAACAATGATGAGATGATCATCTTTGCTACGTGGACTCTTCCCACCAATTCAACCACCATACTTCAGGTTTGGCAGCAGGGTCCGGTTTCCAGTGACTCGCCCTCAGTTCATCCCACCGTTGCACCCAACACTAATGCCAAGGGGACTTTGAATTTGCTTTCTGGGCAGACAGCATCGAGCGGTGGAGGCGGCTCTAGAATTAGAAAGAAAAACGTAAGTGATTCTGTCTCTTTAATGTTCATCCTTAAGCTACATGTCCTAGAGTTTTTTCCTGTTACTTCATAACTAGTGTTTTTAATTTGGTTTTCTTTGGTGGGTAGCTCTGTTTTGATTCTGTTCTTTGGTCCCTAAGTAGTTGTTTTGCTTGTTAAAATAACAGAAATCTGAGTTGTTAAAGCCTCTGATATTTATAAGGGAGTATGTTATTGTATTTTAAAAAATCTTTATAAATTAATCTTTAAAAGTTGTAGAATTGAGGATCTGTTTTCTTGTTTTAAGGTTTCTTTGAGTTCTCCCTTGTTGGCAGCCACAAAAAAGGCCTTTTAGTCAATCCCCTAACTTGTTTTTGTGATTTTGAAACGAATTGCAGATCCATGGAATTCTAAATGCAGTGAGTTGGGGTGTGTTGATGCCTTTTGGAGCAATGGTAGCAAGGTACTTGAAGGTCTTCAAATCCGCAGACCCTGCATGGTTTTACCTTCACGCCACTTGCCAAACCTCAGCCTACGTTGTTGGTGTTGCTGGCTGGGCCACTGGTCTTAAACTTGGTAGCGATTCTACAGGCATCCAGTACGACACACACAGAAACATTGGGATCACCCTCTTCTGCCTTGGAACACTTCAGGTATTTCGACATTCTTCTCACCCTATTTCGACGCATGGATAATATTTCGATAACAATTTTGTGTTGTCTTGGTTATTTGTCCTGGCATCTAAATGGAAGCTCTGAATTTGGATGTAGGTCTTTGCTTTGCTTCTGAGACCCAACAAGGACCACAAATTCAGATTCCACTGGAACATCTACCACCACGCAACTGGGTACGCTGTTATCATCCTCAGCATCGTCAACATATTCGAAGGATTTGACATCTTGCAACCTGAGAAGAAGTGGAAGAATGCATACATCGGCTTGATCATTGCCTTGGGTGTCCAAGCGGCATTGTTGGAAGCTTATACATGGTATGTTGTACTGAAGAGGAAGAGGTCAGAAAAGGCACCGCGCACGGCCAATGGTGTCAACGGCTACAGTGCTTAGAGGTCAGAGGAAGGAGATGCAGAGCGTACGGAATAGTTTGGCAGCGGGAGGAAATGGTTCTTTTGAGTTTCTTCCTCCACCTTCATCTTCCTTCTGCATACATGTTCTTGCACCCTTTTGTATATTTTATGGCATGAGTGTGTACACTATTATGTACTGAGGGATTTCAGGATTAGAGATAATTCTTTCGTAAATTAGACATGCTACCTGAGAGATTTGATGTATTGTACTGAGGGATTTTTTCCTGATATATTTATTTTTCCATCTCATTTCATTGCTGAAATTTGTTTTATTTCAACTTTCTGATGCATTCTCAATTGTGACTTCAATTAGTTTGCATTTCGTGACACTAATAACCACGCTTTATTAAAGAGACAATAAATAAAAGCTTTTGCACACGAGTAACCTCAAAACACTGCTTTTGGGCGAGTTCAATTTTCCTGTTACCAGTTCTCCTGTGCCCACCTGTTACTCATCTAACTTTTTGCAACCTGTCCTTGTACTTAACTCTAAGTTAACAGTTCGTCCGCACAAAAAAAACCTCTAAGTTAACAGTGTTAAGTTTAATTAAATTAAAAACTTAAGCGACACAATCGCATAAACTGAGTGTTTCTGAAAGAAGTTGAAGGCCTTCAGATTGCACGACACGAGTTTGATTTCTAACACCCAATAACGTTGTCTGCTAGAATACTCCATTGATCCATGCTCCTTTCTCCCTTCCTAAAAAACCCAACAGCGAACCCAATCCGTCAACAACCCCACCCTGAACGCACAGCCCCCTCTCCTACTCGCCGTCGGAAACTCTCTTTCTCCCCCTTGATTTTGGATGAAGATCTATATTCTTCCCCTGCTCTTCTTCTTTGAAAGAGAGGGAGATCGAGAGGGAAGCAGAGAAATCAAGGGGGACAGAGGTAGAGAAAAGGAGGCAAACGCTTTGCCGGCTGGTTTGGGGTTGCTGAGGATTGGGGGTGGTGGGAGGGAGTTCGCCCTTGGGTCTTTTTTATTTCCTTCAATTACTAGCTTTCTTTTTTTAATTTAATTACTTAACACTGTTAACTTGAGTTAAGTGGAAGGAGAAGGAGTGATGTCAAAAAGTTAGATAACAGGTGGGCGTCCCAAAGAGAACGTCTCAAGCAGTTTCAAATAGAATATTTCAAGCAGTTTCAAATAGAATAATTTCAAGCACTTTAAAATTTTCAGATTGACTATTTTGCAAGTCATTCATGAAGAATCTCTCAGCTATGCATCATTACGAAAACACACATAGTAGTTTAGAGCAAGATTACCGAAGATATGTCATCTAAATTGGTTCGACAACTAATTTGGCATTGCCTATGCACAAAATACAATTGAATCAAATGCGGATCCTGCTTCATGGAAAAATGTTCAGCTTGAAAGATTTGATGTAGTGATAGAGGCTGTCTCATTCCGATTCCAGCAAAACCCCAACAAATGCATCCTTAAGCAAAGGGTTTGATGCTGCTACTCTTTGAGCTGTGATGTCAAACTCCTTACCAGATCTGATGTGAAAAATTACAACCAATTTTTGACATAAGTAAAATCTTATAGATGATAAAATGTCACATGCATGTTCTAAGATTGTCAACAAAAGGATAGATGTTATTGACCTGCAACTGCCGGCAGCAGTGCACACTACAACGAAAACTACTTATATTTCCAATTCAAATTAATTTGTAAAAGATCGAAAGCTGAGGATGAAGTCACTTACGGATCATACACACATCCTCCAGCTTCTGTAACAATCACAGCACCACCTGCCACATCCCTGAGGCAAAGGAAAAACAAATGTCAATCATTTGCCGGCCACTACAACAATTAACTGGCATAATAGAAAACCATACCAAGGACCCCCAAAGCCGAGTTCACAAAATAGATCAAGCCTCCCACATGCAATTCCACAGAGGTTCAGTGCACAGGAGCCACTCATGCGAAGAGATCTCACCTGCTCAAAACAGAAACTGTTTAATATTGGGATGCCAACACAACTGAAGATCACCATCGGAAAGTTCTGGTTTTACCTTAAAAAGTAAGCTATTTAGTCTGTTTGTAGTAGCATCCACAGTTAATTTATCACGTTGTGTCCCAGCCTGCTCTTCCAGTGAAACAACTAATGATCAGGTTTTTAGGATGAAAAGACAACAGTTATCACGTTGTAACTCTTCATTAAATTATGATATTTAAGAATAAAATAAAAGAATTAATATAATGAACTCCAAATTCAGGTGCTAATATGCAGGGGCATATATAAGAACATGTAATGAATTGTCAATCTATGCCTAAATTTCTCCCTCGATGACACTTCAGAGCATTTGACACAATATGCATGGTTAATGGAACTGCATCCGGATCCCAGGACATCCTATCATTACTGATTTCTAGTCTCATTGTTTAAATAAAACCTTTGATGTGTGCTTTAATTTGCATGGGGGCATAGAGTAAAAAACAACGAATCAGCCATTTATGTAAGGGTAAAGCAATAATATACCACCATCCATCAATCAGTCAAATCTATACCTCAGTTGCAAGGAGAGACTTCACAAGTTCGGTCTGAGATGATACTGCAGTAATTCAAAACATAAGCATGCAGCTCGAAGAGATTAAACAGGTAATTCTGTAATCATTAAGAAACAATAAACTTGATGATTAAGAACGGCATAGTCACCTTTTATAGGCTTTCCATTAAGAAATGCACCTCCTCCACGTACACCAGTAAAAAGCTACATATGATGAACTCAAAATTAATACACTTTCCTCAGCTAGTAGTACTTAAAAAGCAAATTTTCATATTTCAACCCAAAAGTTTCACTATAATACTATCATTCGGACCATCATAATTCCATACTCTAATAGAATAAAAGTTATGGTTAATCACTTGAGCTTGACATTAGTGAAGATAAGAGTCCTAACCTCATCGATTATTGGATTGTAAACAACACCAACTGTTGGAATCTTTCCAATTGTAAGACCAATTGAGACACAGACAAAGGGGAACCTACAATCAATAATGTTCACATAAACAGCAATGAGAATCAATCAGCATAGAGACAAGAAACAATCATCTACAACACAAGAAGTGATTTTTACCCATGCACAAAGTTAGTGGTTCCATCCAGGGGATCAACTATCCATGTGGGGTCGTCAGTCAGCTCTGTTACACCACAAGCAGCAGTAGTTTCTTCCCCAATGAACTAAAATTAACATCGACTAAAAAAATTCAGAAACGGAGAGAACAGAACTAGTCCTGGGAGATACAATGCTATTTTAGGCACCAACGAGAAACTTTGTTGCTACATGGGAATGAGGAGTTAACCTTGTGTGTGGGGTAAAGGTTCTTGAGATGATTAAATATGAGATCTTCACATGCCTTATCAGTTTCTGTGACCAAATCCACCTGTACTTGACAACAAAAATGGAGGATGAACAGAAAATTAGTTGTTTAATTTTAAAATTTCAGTTCGCAATATCTTGTTACATAATACTGAGCCATCTCACTGAAACACATAAGATAAGTTTCTCCCTTTAATTGTACTCAACTTTCATGATCAAATTTATCATTTAGGAAAAAAATATTTTTAGCTCAATGCAGCATTTGGCTGCCAAGAAGATGATGGACGACAACTTATTCAAAAATCATTCACATATATGTCATCGATGCTTTACAAATAATTCAATTTTACAAATCATTCACTTAAAAAAGTTATACAATTATTGAATTAGCAATTCACAGCTAAATCGAAATTGACCAAACACCCATTTGATTAAATAATTAAAAGAAGAGAAGAGAAGTTAAAAGACCTGGCCTTTATGCTCCACATGTTTGGTCTCGTAGAACCCTTTTCGAATTATCTGCAATTAATCATATACATACAGATACAAGACTTTGGTTCGACAAATGCGAAGTGAAAAATGAGATAAAATAAAATTAGCTGAAAGGAGTAGAGCTTTGGGAGGGTCTGTGGGGACTGACCTCGCCAGCTTTCTTGGCGGCGTCAACTGCAGAGGCGAGAAGCTGAGCAAGCGAATCTACACTCCACAGCAATTGCAGAACAAATTTCGATTAGTTTTTAGATATAAACAACAACGGCTATGGAAGCACATGAATTCTTCTATAAAAAAAAATTAAAAAACGAGAAGAAGGAGATGGATGGGGTCCTACCATTTTGAGCCATTTTTCTGTGTGATGAGAGAAGGAATGCGGTGTTAATAATAATAGGAGATTTTGATGACGATGGGTTCGTGCTATGTTTCCGAGCGTTTCACGTAGCACTTAAAGCCGCCTGAGGTACTGAGACTGTAATATATATATATATATAGGCCATTCATTTATGGCATAGAGTATATGCCCTTGTGGTTGCTTTTATTTACTGATACACCCTTTAACATATTCCTTACGCGTACGCCTGTGAAATTTCCATGAAAATGCCATTAGTCTCTAACTTCTGGCATCTTCTTGGTATTTCCCTGAATGCAAAAACAGTGTAGGCCTCTAAATTAAATTGGTAAATAATTACCCAGTGAAAAGATAATAATGTCTGGGGTAAATTTAATGGTGGAGGTCATAATCGTCTAATCATAGATGGGAAGGTGCATGGAATATGCCAATAATATGCTGTGTACGTGATTCGTTGTTCGCTTGTCATTCATTCATATGGTCTCTTTCACATAACCCCCGTATGGGCGGTGTAGGAATTTGGAACAAGTGCCTCTACCCCACGATTTAAAGAACTATCACATGGAATATGCTCATTTTCTTCACCAATTGGTCAGTGTCCATCTACCTTGCGTTGTTTGATTGATTTTGTTTAAGAAGAAAAGAACTTATCTCCAGTTGGCTTCGGATTTCATGATATTATCCTATGTCTCGCATGTACGGTTTCAAATTAGAGATTTGATTCTATGTACGTTTAGATCCATAATTATAACTCGATGGAATAGTTTGTGTTGGCAAGATTTTATGGCATGACGTTTAATTATATTTCTTGGTGGCAAAAGCAAATGAAGATTTTAGCTTTACATTTTGGTGACTTAATTCTGGATTGTACTACTTTCACTGTGGGTTTGTAAACCTTGAAAGCTCTCCAAATCCAAATCTGAATTACATTTTACGAAAACTTCCTAATTCGAGCACCTTTATCTTGCATATAGGTGTTAATTTAAACAATACGACGCTAGTGGGAGTGGGGAACATTGCATGAATTCAAATACATTACAAGACTGCTTGGTTAACCATTCAATCATCAGCATCACCTACAACATTAAACATTTCAGATAAAAAACCATTAACAAAATTGCCCAGAACAAAAGAACAAAAATTGAACATCAACTATTCAAATTTCTTTATTATAATTTATAGAGTCCAGACTCCAGAATACATATTTGAACATCAACTATTCAAATTTCTTTATTATAATTTAGAGAGTCCATACTCCAGAGTACATATTTGCATACGATAATAATTAAAACACGAAAAGATCATTCTCCTAAAAATTAGTTAGTCTTTGCTAATTTACGGAAGGAGATCAATTGCCTAAAATGCTCCCAACTCTTTTCCCAGACAACAGCCAAATAATTCTCTTCGGCAACCGCTACGGCTATGGTGGTCGAAATGACAAGGCGAGAGTTGATGTCGGCCACCACCTGGGTCTTGCCGCGGATCACCCTCTGAAACACCAATTTCTTCTTGCCTTGGGCTTGCTTGTTGTATTCCGACACCGCGAACTCTGCGATCTCTTTCACATGGGGGTCGCTGATGTCCTTTATGGGCTGATAATCGCCGACCAAGGCGACCCTGTGGCCTGTGACGGCGACGGCCACCAGAGGATATCATTTGCAGAACAAATTTTGATTAGTTTTTAGTAGGGCTGGACTCGGTTTGGGTTGGTTCAGTTTTAGGCTCAACCCGACCCCGAACCGTAGGCTTCGGTTTGGCTATTTTGAAAACCGAAACCAAACCATAATTGATGAAAACTGATCACTTCGGTTTACCGGACTTGGTAGTTTGCTTTGGTTCGGTTTCAGTTTTTTGGCTCTAAGAGAGAGAGAGAGAGAGAGAGAAGAAATAAAAGCGATGGAGAGGAGAAGAAGAAAAAAAAAAAGAGGGTGAGATGGAGAAGAAGAAGAAGATGATGAGAAAAAGAAAAGAGAGAGAAGAAGAAGAAGAGGGAGATGGGGAGAGAGACTGATGAAGACAAGACAAACGGAGAGATTGAGAGATTTTTATAATAATATTATATATAATATATTTTAATATTTTCGGTTTGGTTTGGTTAAACTGTGATTTTGAATATTGTAAACCGTACACCGAACCATATATTTCGATTTGGTTTGGCTCAAACCGATGACAAAAAAAAAATTGAAAAAAAACAAAACCAACCCAACCCATCGGTTTGGTTTGGGCAGTTTGGCCAGGTTTCGGGTCCAAATGCCCAACCCTAGTTTTTAGATATAAAAAACAACGGCTATGGAAGCACATGAATTATTCTATTAAAAAAAACGAGAAGAAAAAGATGGATGGGGTCCTACCGTTTTCAGCCATTTTTGTATGTGATAAGAGAAGGAATGCAGTGTTAATAATAATAAGAGATGTTGATGACAATGGGTTCGTGCTTTGTTTCCGAGCTTTTCACATAGCACACTGAGACTGATAAATAAATAATGTAATATATATATATATATAGGCCATTAATTTATGGCATATAGTATATGCCCCTGTGGTTGCTTTTATTTACTGATACACTCTTTAACATATTCCTTACGTTATTCATTGTTCGTAAGGAATATGTGTTCACTCATTTTGATTTTGATCCTGTGATGGTAGGGTAAAGTTCCCCATTAGCTTGACAACCATTAGTGATTAACAAGTCAACTTTCTTTTATGTGTGAGCGTGCCACTGCTAGCAGTGCAAAACCCTAGCAGACTTCTAAAAAATAGATAACTTGCGCCCCAAGTTATTGATTTCCAAACAAGCAATTGTGAATTTGGGTGATGAATATCTCCCAAGTAAGTTCTTTTCTTGCCTCAGACTGGTTAGGACTTCATAATTTTTCACAGTACAAAATGGGTAGTTATGGCTAGAATAGACAAAAAGAAGACGAACTGTTTTAGGCAGAACTGCATGTTACAGGACTTAAAAATGAAATGACAACTCCGAAACAAGACAACAGGATGTTGGATTTCCATTTATGCCTGGATAACTACCTCTGAACCGGGCTGGATTAGATGTGTCTGTGCTGGATTGGCTCGTCAACGCCTTCAACTGTTGAGTTTTAGCTGGAAATCGATACCAATATTTGAGTTTGGCAGAGCTTCAATTTATTTCGAGCCATGGAAGACTTGTTGAACAGGCAGAATTGAAGCATCTTCAGTCTGGAGAGGGCAAAAGTGGCTGGATTGATGATCACTGAGCTGCGCTATGGTGTCTATTCTGCTTGACCAAGGCTCTCTGTAAATTTGTTGGGATTTTCATATTTGTGAAAAATCTCTGACTCTTCTTGACTTGGCTTTATGCTGAACCAAATCTGTAACGAGAGAAATCTCATTTTGTAGAACTATTTCTCTAAACTGAACTGAAAGAATAAATTTTGAATTTATAGCTGACTTCTTTCTTGTGGCTCAATGAGCTTTAGTTGCTTCAGTATTTTGAAGGCTTTTGAGATCAAATGATCATTTTGAGTTTGTTAGTTGCGACTTTGAGAGTTTTGTTTTGATTGGTTTTTTGGTTGTCCTGATCTGTTCATCTCCTTTCAGTTTTATAGAAAAAAGATGGTGTGGGGCTTCTAATCTTTTAATAATGGGTGGCAGATTTTCCAAAAGAAAAGATCTTTTATTTTTAAATGCCAAGACAAGGGAAATTTATCTATTTTGGCAAAAAAGCTATCAATAGTCAGTTCTTATAGTGATCACTTCCCAGCCTTTCCTAAAAGAAAACCTAATCCCTTTTTACTTTTTAACCGCCCTTTGTAAGAATGCAATATGCTATGATAGTTAGTTTGCTTTTCCTGATGAACAATTCCCTGCTCCTTACTTATTTATTTAGAAAATGTAGTCTGCTTATCTCTTGAAAATGACACCTGCTCTACTGCAGAATTTCTCTACATACAGAAAGGGTTTTTGATCTTTTGGCTTCAAAGATTCAGAGAAGTCTCCCTGTAAGACCTGCCTTCATTAACTTCCTATCAATTCCTCTGTAATAGTTGAAATTTTTTACTTTTCAAAGTCAAGTAGTCACAAAGGGCTCTTATGAAAAAACCATTTTTTAGTAAGGAAATATCTGCTGACTTTTTTGAGATCAAGTGGCTACTTTTGTGATTTGTTCAAAAGGGTCTGGGCTCTTTCAATGCCTTGGTTTTTTCCTTCTGATTCTTGTAGATGAAAGCCCAAATGTTTGGTTCATGGGCCTATCGACAAAAACGGGCCGGCGTGCAGAGTTTTGGCCCAAACACAAGGTAAACTTTAGTGGCTTTTAAAAGTGGCATGGGCTTCTCTAATTTTGGGCTGGGCGTGCCAAATTAGTCCCAAATAATATGTTAAAGGAATTTGGAACAAGTGCCATTCCCCCATGATTTAAAGAACTGTCACATGGAATATGTTCATTGTCTTCACCAATTAGCCAGTGCTCATCTGTCTTTCGTTGTTTAATTGATTTTGTTTAAGAAGAAAATAGCTTATCTCCAGTTGTCGTTGGATTTCATGATATTATCCTATGTCCTGTGTGAGTTGTCGCATGTATGGTTCCAAATTAGAGGTTTGATTTTATGTATGTTTAGATCCACAATTATAACTTAATGGAATAGTTTGTGTTGGCAAGATTTCATGGCATGACGTTTAATTATATTTCTTGGTGGCAAAAGCAAATGAAGATTTTAGCTTTACATTTTGGTGACTTAATTCTGGATTGTACTACATTCACTGTCGGTTTGTAAACCTTGAAAGCTCTCCAAATCCAAATCTGAATTATATTTTACGAAAACTTCCTAATTCGAGCACCTTTATCTTGCATATAGGTGTTAATTTAAACAATACGACGCTAGTGGGAGTGGGGAGCATTGCATGAATTCAAATACATTACAAGACTGCCTGGTTAACCATTCAATCATCGGCATCAGCTACAGCATTAAACATTTCAGATCAAAAACCACTAACAAAATTGCCCAGAACAAAAGAACAAAAATTGAACATCAACTATTCAAATTTCTTTATTATAATTTATAGAGTCCAGACTCCAGAGTACATATTTGAACATCAACTATTCAAATTTCTTTATTATAATTTATAGAGTCCAGACTCTAGAGTACATATTTGTAGACGATAATAATTAAAATACGAAAGGATCATTCTCCTGAAAATTAGTTAGTCTTTGCTAATTTACGGAAGGAGGTCAATTGCCTAAAATTCTCCCAACTCTTTTCCCAGACAACAGCCACATATTTCTCTCCGGCAGCCGCTGCTGCTGTGGTGGCTGAAATGACAAGGCGAAAGTTGACGCCGGCCACCACCTGGGTCTCGCCGCAAATCACGCTCTGAAACACCAATTTCTTCTTGGCTTGGGCCTGCTTGTTGTATTCTGACACCGCAAACTCTGCGATCTCTTTCACATGGATGTCCTTTATGGGTTGATAACTGCCGACCAAGGCGACCCTATGGCCTGTGGCGGCGGCGGCCACCAGAGGAGATCAATTGTAGAACAAATTTCGATTAGTTTTTAGATATAAACAACAATGGCTATGGAAGCACATGAATTCTTCTATAATTTTTTTTTATAAAAAAAACGAGAAGAAAGAGATGGATGGGGTCCTACCGTTTTCAGCCATTTTTCTGTGTGATGAGAGAAGGAATGCGGTGTTAATAATAATAGGAGATGTTGATGACGGTGGGTTCGTGCTCTGTTTGTGAGCTTTTCACGTAGCACACTAAGGCTGATAAATAAATAATGTAAGATATATGGGCCATTCATTTATGGCATAGAGTATATGCCCATGTGGTTGCTTTTATTTACTGATACACCCTTTAACATATTCCTTACGTTATTCGTTGTTCGTAAGGAATATGTTAAAGGAATTTGGAACAAGTGCCACTCCCCCATGATTTAAAGAACTGTCACATGAAATATGTTCATTGTCTTCATCAATTGGCCAGTGCGCATCTGCCTTTCACCAATTGGCTAGTGCGCATCTGCCTTTCGTTGTTTAATTGATTTTGTTTAAGAAGAAAATAGCTTATCTCCAGTTGCCTTCGGATTTCATGATATTATCCTACGTCGTGTGTGGATTGTCGCATGTATGGTTCCAAATTAGAGGTTTGATGTATGTTTAGATCCATAATTATAACTTGATGGAATAGTTTGCATTGACAAGATTTCATGGTATGACGTTTAATTATATTTCTTGTTGGCGAAAGCAAATGAAGATTTTAGCTTTACATTTTGGTGACTTAATTCTGGATTATACTACATTCACTGTGGGTTTGTAAACCTTGAAAACTCTCCAAATCCAAATCTGAATTATATTTTACGAAAACTTCCTAATTCGAGCACCTTTATCCTGCATATAGGTGTTAATTTAAACAATATGACGCTAGTGGGAGTGGGGAGCACTGCATGAATTCAAATACATTACAAGACTGCCGGGTTAACCATTCAATCATCGGCATCACCTACAGCATTAAACATTTGATCAATTTATTTATCTACCTTTTACAAAAGTATCATCGAGATAATTAGAAGAAACTACTACACATGGAGATTGAACAGAAGAAAAGGCTCCTTCGAATGTTTGACAGCGTCATCATACACCAACGCCAACAACTATGACAACTCTAAGATTCACAATAAAAAGAACCAGAAACTCCAGCCAGATTCCACATACAAGACAATGTTACATTCATGAGTGGTCTTTAGGTTCCAAGGCAGCAATTTCTCTCACCACTTGAGCTTTGTCTGCCTCAAATTGTTCATCCTCTGCAACAAACCATTTTCGCAAACTTGTAAAGCCAGTCCCAAACCAACAGTAGCAAAGTGCAAATTGAATTAACTATATACCTTTATCAATCTTAAAATCAGCAAACAGCCGTAGAAGTTTGCTTCTATTTGCGACAAGTATGCTCACGATGTCAGCAGGTTTATTTTGATTAGCAGCAAATAGCTGTGAACAGAAAAACACGTCAACAACAAGAATCAAGGGTACCACTCCCCCTGAAATTTAATAAATCACAATGGATGAACCAAACCTTGAAAACATGAAATGCTTCAATCTGGATGCTCTTGCTTGACTCCTGCAAATGCAGTAAAACCCACAACTTAGCACATTTTGGTTTGGTAATATATTAAAACTTTGTTTGTCCCATCCACCAAACAATCATCATCACAAACTCCACATGGCTTACATATATTGAAAATTTCTGAATATGAAATTAAATGCATCCTAAACCAACATTTTATTTTATTTTATTTAAAGGCCTACAAGGAGAAGGGGGGGCAGGGGTTCACGGCAATTAGTAGTAAAACAGGGTAGGAGAATATATCATACTCTGAGAAGATTCATAAGGATCCTCAAGTTGTCCCTTGAGCTCACATATCGAGTCATCACAGCTGAGTTTGACCGATCCAACAAAATATCTCCTAACAACTGCAAGGCATAAAGAATCTTCTTCAGCAAACGCCATAGTCACACGAGTTAAAATAGTCTCCACAAAAAGCCAAATACGCAGCCTGTCTCAAGAACATGATAAAACTAAAGAGAACACAAGGTACTTTAACTAGAAAGTTATAGTTCCAGAGGAGATTGGCACTCCGAGGTTAAGGCGTTATGCTATTTAAGAGATGGCTATTTAAGGTCGAATATTTATCATACCTTGACAGCTTGCCGTCTGGTAATGTAATTGGAGGATTCTAGAAGCTTTGAGTTATACTCCGCAAAAAACTGGCATAAAATTATCGAGTTCCATTTAATAAGAAACCGTGATAATATAACAAAGGCAGCAACAACAGCAAGTCCAGAAACAAAAAATGTCAGAATACATATGAGTAACAAAACAAAATTACTGAAACACAACAAAGTAAACGAAATAATCCATTGTGACATTTATATGCTCTTTCCAAGTTCTTATTTCCCTTTTCCTTGAAGTAATTCTAATGTAATTATTCAATCAAATGCCGATACATGTTTCTTATTGTCCACATGCATATGTTCTGTGTAAATGGATGGACATAAATGAATACACACATCATCTGTATATCAAAAGAAAATAAAAAAACCCCTTACCCAGTCATAGTTCTTGGAAAGAAACTCCGCTACAGTAGATTTATGCCTCGTCAGGAGTTCCTGCAAGGAGATGTTACAGAACTTTAGAATGATGCTAGTGCAACTGCAACCAGACAATTACATGAGTCGAAGAAGTGGTGGTAAAAAAATAAAAAATAAATTGTTCTTATATTTTTTATGAGCAATCCACAGTACAGCTATATCAGATTCCCTGTAAAATTTCGGATAAGAACATTGTGGATCAATAATTGCAATATTGTGGATTATCTACTATTAAACCGGGAAGCCGAACGTATCAAACATTTCCCACATGCATGAAGGACAAAGCATGCAGCATTTTGAGTGTTCAGCTTATCCCAAGGGCTGCAAAACCGTGCAGTAACTTCTAAAAGTGTAAAGATTCTTTTTTGTCTGAATCGGAGAGTGTAAATATTGTTACAAAAACAAACACATGACTGGTTCGGCCAAACTAACTCACCTTAAAAGTTGCAGCAGCATCTGCAGCAATATCAAAATTGGGGAGCTGTATGTAATCAAAGAACTTCTTCATGTGTTCTGATTCCAAAACATATCTGCAATCAAAACAGAAATGTTCAAAAGGCAATTACGTAAGATCAAAGATAAATAAGATACACCTGATGTGGCAGAAAGCTACGAGTTTAAGCTACTAAATGATCCAAATATTCCATTTCCCACTTCTTAATGATATCTCGCGCAGCAATACAGTCAAATCTGAAGTTGACCAATGGACCAGGTTCATTTTGCATACCTTGCAACGGTTTGGTGGCGTATGCACTCCCTCAGCATTGCACCATAATGTAGAGCCATGTCTGTGTTTCCATACCTAAAAGATGTGGAATGTAATAATGAGAAGCCAAAGATTATAAAGTGAATTAAGATGAGATACTTTTTGAAACCCGCAACTGCCCTGCTTTTTCGTAAAATAAAAAAGAATTTGGAAAAAGAAAAGAGATTGGGACCCTTATTTTAACTTGAAGAGTGATTCATAAAGAACAGACTAATAATTGGAATGTTTTCAATCTAATAAGCTGCAAAAAAAAAAAAAAAAAGTAAAGATGTAACTGAGACACTCCAAGCATCAACAACATTGTCCTCTCTTTTTGATTCCAAAGTCCAATGAATCCCAAAGATGCCTGAATGTTTGTGAAAACATCTTTTGACAACCACTTACTGGCCAAAGCAAAGGAACTTCTACATGTAATCATTACATAAGAAGAAGATACCACAGATCTTCTCCAGAATTTCACAGGAGGTCATTAGTAACAAGTATTTCAATGTATCTCAAATTTGGGGAGTTCATTGTTTTCCGTGATTGAAATATTTGGACACATATAGAACACCATTGAAAATCAATGTCAATTAAAAGATAACTTTTCAAAGTGAACATATGCAAATCAATACATGGACTGTAAGGACCAAACAGAAACATTGCAATATAAAAGCACCGACACCGAGTATCCCAAGTCCTTGTGAATAGTCGCTTACCCTTGGATTAAAATATCCATCAAATCTATGTTTGCTTCCAAATAATCAGATGCAATCAACTTGGATTGAACTTGTTGTCTTTGCAAATTTGCAACAACTTGAGTGGCATCTTTTCGAGCCTGCAGAAAGTCAACCCAGAATGGAGCAAATGAGATTGAAGACAAGACAAGAGAAGGTGAGAGAAGAAGGGATTGACAATTACCTCCAAGTTCAATTTGGGAAGACATATAATGAGAAGTCGAAGCGTGTTCTCTTTAAAAAACTCCTGGGTCAATTGAGCACAAGCTTCTGAGACAGGCTCAGACTCGCTATTGCCGTAGAGAATGGACTTCATCTCCCTGATGTTTTTACATAGCTCTGACATCTGGTTAGCAACGAAATTCCAACACAGATCAGCTTGCGCAACACAAATTGCTCTAATAAATCAACCGCGCATTATGTAAGCCGTGCACTTTTGATTAAATCCAATGAACAAACAAGTTCGATTTCATTTAAATTAAACTAATTTGAAAGTAAGTCATGCACTTTATTATGATTTCTCTATTTGGTAGATTCCACTATAAAAAGATAGAAAAACAGAACACTAATCCCAATTTGTTTCAAATCTCCAAAATAAAAAACAATAGAGAATCGGATCAAAATTTTAATAGAATAGAATCGGAACGTGAATTGATTGAGGGACGAACCTTCTCCTCGCGTTTGCTTTCGCGGGAATCGGGGGTGCGCTGGGCATAGATGAGGAGATCGCGGGTCTGGCGAACAACGTCGGCGGGGGTTCGGGGCTTGGATTTGAAGAGTCCCTTCATCTTGTTGTTGTTGTTGTTGTTGTTGCTGCTATTGCGACGATGATGTTTCTCTATCTCTTCTTCTTGATGCCGTTTGGATTGCTCCCGTAGATGATGGTCTTGATGCTGCGGTGGCTGAGGAGAGAGCCTCGGTGCCGTCAGAAGAAGGCTGGAGGAGGCTCTCCGCTGCCCACCTTGTTTGGACGACGCACAGATTCCTATCTTGTGTTGGTGTGTCGTAGGGTTAGTTAGTTGTGGCGGTTTCTTAATTCTGCTTTTCGCTAAATTTTGCCTCTAACCCAAATTAGCCTCACCCTCACACCCGATGAGTGATTAATTGCCTTTATTATCTAACATTTGCAGACACATAAATTATTGATAATATCAGGTTTTTTTTGTAATATTTATCTTCGAATAGGAATGGGGTATTCTTCTTATCCCACCAACGGTTGGTAGTTTGTAATCTGAATAGATTATAGATGGATGGATAGATAGCGGATTGATTACCCGAGCGCATGTGCACGGGGAACATGACCTAAACTCTCAAAGACGAGTCCGAGTCCGAGTCCGAGTCCTTGTCCTTGTCCTTGTATGAGAGCGAGACAAGTACTTTCATGAATTAACCGGCCTCTATAGTCTATGGTGGTATTTCTTGGGAAAATATACCGACCGCGCTTCATCTCTCCCATATCCTTGAAACACTGTTTCGAATCATATACTTACAGACAAAATTTTGATGGAAAATGAAAAACAAAACTCAAACCATATCGAGTCATAGTCATGGTAGATTATGACAATTCCAAAATTGTCTGCCCTATTGTTAGGTTAGGTAGTTTTAAATTATCTATAATAGAATATTTATCTTTGTAAATTTAATATTGGATAAAATCATATGACGCAAGATCATGAATTTCAGTCAGACTGATGGAGAGTAAAATTTCATATCAAAAACCACTAACAAAATTGCCCAGAACAAAAGAACAAAAATTGAACATCAACTATTCAAATTTCTTTATTATAATTTAGAGTCCATACTCCAGAGTACACATTTGCACACATTTGCAGACGATAATAATTAAAACACGAAAGGATCATTCTCCTGAAAATTACTTAAGTCTTTGCCAATTTACGGAACGAGATCAATTGCCTAAAATGCTCCCAACTCTTTTCCCAGACAACAGCCTCATAATTCTCTCCGGCAGCCCCTGCGGCTGTGGGGTTGGACACCGCCGACGACTCATTCTTGGCCGAAATGACAAGGCGATACTTGATGCCGGCCACCACCTGGGTCTCGCCGCGGATCACGCTCTGAAACACCAACTTGTTCTTTCCTTGGGCCTGCTTGTTGTATTCCGACACCGCGAACTCTGCGATCTCTTTCACATGAGGGTCGCTGATGTTCTTTATGGGCTGATAACCGCCGACCAAGGCCTCCCTGTGGCCTGTGGCGGCGGCGGCCACCAGAGGAAGGACGAGGGCAACGAGTGCGAGAAGGCAGTGAGGACGCATCATGACCGTTGATTTATTTATCTCTTGAATTTCTTGAATTTTCTTGACTAACAATACTATCCTCATAAAGAGTGAGCAGCATTGGATTCGGAGGCGTGTATTTATACATGGGTGTGGTTGGGCAGTGGGCGAGCATAACGTGCAGGAATGTGAAGGATTGGCGTATACGGAAGGTTACAGATTGACTTCTGTTGTCCTCTATTTTACTCTCCAAATTTGCTCATTTCGGGATTATTTTCGCCCTTCCTTTCTATGTTCATTTCCAGATCCGGTGGGTAGCTGCTCTGGTTTCTTTGGTTTTTCTTCCATTTTTATTTGTATTATTCATATCTTTTCAGAGTAAAAGTTTGAATCTGGTGGATGTTTCCAGATTCGATGGGTAGCTGCTCTGGTTTCTTTGGTTTTTCTTCCATTTTTATTTGTAGTATTCATATTTTCTTTGGTTTCCTTGTTTGATTTGACTTTGTTTGATTTGATGTTTCTTCCTTTTGTTAAACTTTTCTTTATAAAATATTTACATTTTACATTTTACATTTAGGTTAATCATTTTTAACTTTATATTAAATATTGAATATTTTTTCTATAAGTCCTTATAAGTCATTTTGCATAGGGCTAAATTTGTCTTTAAATTTTTAAAGATAAGATAGGTAGGAAAATAAGGAGGGGAATACGCAACATTCTATCTAACCTTCTCCTTTGGACATTCTTCATTTTCCTTATGACATGTGTCATTCTCATTACACTTAAAATAATATCATTAATGTATTATACAAGCTAACTTTTGCTTTCCAAGTTTATCTTATTCAAATTTTTTTTTTTACAACTCTCTTACCTTCTTAATAAAAAGTTTTTTTTTTAAAGTTTTTTTTTGGAAAGAATTGTATGCTTTCCTATCTTTTTTAACACAAAAGAAATGTCAATTTTCTATTTTATATATATAAAAGTCATTCACATCCATAAGCACCCCAATGGTACAAAGTTTACAGACTAACCTTTTTTTTTTCATAAAGGAAATTGCTTCATTGCATTTTTTATACTACTAAATAAACCAAAATAATCCCTAACAACATAGGCTTGAGATAAAATATATAGAAGCAAAAGAATAAAAAATCATCAAAATCAAATTCAATACGGAAAATAAAATAAAATTACAGTTTAGATTAACAAAAGAAAAATGAAAGAGTGGTCTGCATTTATCTTATACAAACGGCTATAATACGTTGCTCTACTCTATTTTTATTATTTTTTATACAAATTTATAAATAAACCCAATCCTAGACATGTATTTATAAAAAAAACCCAAGTACTATTTAAACATAGAAACACACCCAAAATCAACCTCAAAGTCAACTTTTTGGATGTGTTTATAAATGGGTTTTGAGTGTATGTAATGATGGGTTTTGGGTGTGTTTATATGTTTAAATAGTGATTGGATTTTTTTATAATTTCAACCCCTATTTTGGGTGTTTTAGTGAAACTCCCTATTTTTTAATGGTCATGAAGATAAACATTTATAACAACCCAAGGCAAAAGGCTTAGAGGAGAGCCAAAACCTGTACAAACAAGAAGCAAAGACCAAAAAAATAACTGACGTTAAAATTTTATTACAAAAATAAATTTTTTATTAAGATGGTAAGAAAGTTGTCAAAAAAAAATTTAGATAAATTGAATAGGGTAAACTTGGAAAGCAAAAGTTAGCTTGTATAATGCATTAATGACATTGTTTTAAGTGTAATGAGAATGACACATGTCATGAGGAAAAATGAGAAAGTTCAAAGAAGAAGGTTGCTAGCATTCCCCAAATAAGAATGAGACGTGAAATAACATCACTCTCTCTGTCCTACCTTATGTTGATACTCACCAATAAAACCATAACACCTGGCCATTGAAGATTTCTATTTTTTCTTTTTAAGACACAAAACGGAAATTATAAATTATACCCCAAAAAAAAATAAAAAATAAAAAAGAAACAATAACAAAATAACACCCCCTCAACAAGAACATTTGAATTAAAACAGCTGAGATAATTTTGATAGGGTATGGGGATTCTTCAGTTCTCTATTTATGGAAGAGGATAAAATGATTTTCTATTACAGGAAAAGAAAAATGTAATTAATATGGAATGAAATCACCCAACATAATGGAAGGCCAATAATTGCCTCATAATTGGTAGTTTTTTTCTGGTCAAACCAGATGAAGATTGTATTGCTTTACGCTAAGCTAAGCGTAATACAAATACAATAACCATAAAGGCTAATACAATGTCCCATAAAGGAGTTACAACCACTGCCCACAAATGACTATTCACACTTCTTTTTTTTTTTTTTTGTCAAATGACTATTCACACTTGAAGTGACCTGTTTGAAATATGGAGGGCTGGATGGATATATAGAGTCATCGATGGTCCTTGGTTGGATAATGGAGACTGGCAGCAAAGGTAAATGATTTCTCTCAACCTGAAAATTATTGTCCAAATCTGGTCATTTGGAGGTTACTTTCGGCCTTGCCAAAGTATATCTAAATTTCACTATTATGGAAGAGGATCACGTACCCTAGGAAATATTATGAAATCACCCTTACTAATTAACTTTACCAAAAAGGAGAATTTGCCGGATTGAGGAGATAAGGGAGGGAAAGGAGTTAATGAGGAGATAAATTTTTGTATGATACTTGAGTATCGGTCATGTGATATAATTAGGAATTATATTTTAAAATTAGAATCCAACCAAATTCCTTTTGCATTGCAGTGATGATACTTCAGATATTGTTTGTCATATTAAAGTATAAATTGCTAAAGTTATCTATTTGCGATATTTAGGCTATGTTTACTAATTTGTAATCGGGTGAGGATGAATTGAATTGAGAAAAAATTGAATCGAGGAAGAGTTGGATTGAGAAGGAGTTAGAATCTGAATTCCCATTGAAGTTGTTTACCAAACTATCTAGAATCGAGGTAGAATGATATTGATTCCTTAACTTTAAAAAATTGTGTGAAGATATTATAGGTCAGTGATGACATGTACGTGAATAGTCACGAAAAAATAGACAAAAGATATGAAACACAAGAAAAACGTCGTACTAAACCATTCAACAATTGTACTAATTAATAAAACATCCTAACAGACAGACAGAATGAAGACAAGAGTAAGTAGTAGGCATGAATATATGCGTGCAAGTTTAAGAATCCCTAAAATTAATTGCCTTCTTTAGGAATTGCTGCAAAGGAGAGCAATTGCCTAAAATGCTTCCAAGCCTTCTCCAAGACAACACCCTCATAATAATTGAGGGAGAAGAGGGGATCAGGAATCGTCTCATTGGTGGCCCCAATGACGAGCCGATACCTGACACCCGATTCGACCATCGTCTCGCCCTTGGCCATGTTATAATACACCAACTTGTTCTGGACCGGCTCTGATCTGAACTCCGACAGCGCAAACTTTGCTATCTCTACCACGTGGGGGTCGCTCAGGTCCCCTACGGGCTGCCAACCGCCCACCTTCACGTCCCGTCCGTCTGCGGCACAGGCCACCAGAGCAAGAACCAGGGCCACGAGTGCAAGGAGGCAGTTTGAGCGCATTGTGACCGTTTGATTGATTTCTTTGATTATTTTGAAGGGTTTTCTCAACTGGCTTCTTCGGATCCACAAGTGAAGTGACCTTCATGCATTCGAGGGCTGGACTGGATATATATATATATATAGAGAGAGAGGGAGAGAGGTGGTGAGTGGAACTTGGACCGGAAGGTAAAGACTTTTCTGTGACTTTCTTGCAATCTTTTTCATAATCTGTTCCATATATATTTGATCGCAATTACCTTTGAATGGAGCCAGTGATTCTACAAAATCTGTAAATATTTTTTTCCTTTTCTTTTTCCATTTATTCGGAGGAGGAGGAAACGATTTTCTTCCTTGAATTCAATTATTATCCAATTCTCACACATGAAATAGGTTTTAGAATTCTAGGGTTTAGGTAAGAGTGAACAGTGATGGAGAATCACACACATTATTAATTTTCAAATCACGAACAAAATAACCTAAATTAAAATTACCTTAAAATATTGAAACAAGACACAAAAATTAAAAATTCAAGAAAATTCAGAAGTTTATTACCATTATTTGATACGCATACGTATCACCACATATATATGAAATCCCTCAATGTCAATAGTAATACAGTAACTAAGGAATTTAAAGATACTAAATACATTATTAATTGGCTAATCGTTAAGTTGACGAAAAGAGTTCAATTTCCAAAGATCCTTCCAAGACTGCTCACACACACTAAGCTCATAATGGGCATGATTGAAACCTGCGGTGGAGTTAGGCAACGATCCATCCTTGGCCAAAACAACAAGCTGATAGTTCTGGCCCGCGACCATCTGGGTGTCTCCGCGGATGACCCTCTCAACCACCAACTTCTTGTGGGTTCGCAGGTTGTACATGGACACCGCGAACTCTGCCATCAACTTCAGACGAGGGTCACCGATGTTCTCTTTGGGTATGGGCTTCAAACCGCCAGGAATAGCCCGCTGAGGAGTAGCAGCCACCAGCATCAGAGGAAAGAGGAGGCCAATCAGTGCTAGGAGGAGCCAGTGAGAACGCATCTTCAGTCCGTGTGGCTTTCTTTTTCTCTTTTTTCTTGGTTTGAGTTGAGTCTCAGTCGAGGGATGGACAAGTTACGTTGGTCCCTTCCGTTATATATATTGGTGGGTTGGTGCTTAAGTTGGACGTGGACAAAAATGTAGATGGAAGGTTACAGAAAATTATGGCATAATTTGGAGATGAAGTCAGAAATTTGCGGTCCAAAAATTGTGGAAATTGGATGTATTGAGTTACGGCGGGGAGTAATTCAGTTTCTTCTTTATATAGGGAACGCTGATGATGGACAGTTTCTTTTGTATGAATTGTAAATAGTGAATTTTTTAACTTGTTTGAAGTCGTTTCGTTCCTTTAATTGTTACTGTTATTTGAGAGTTTAATTAGTTTTCCTCTTTGATCTTTTTTAATTGCTCTAGATTATCTATTTGCTTGAGTAATTGGATTAATTGGGTTCAGAAAACCATGTCCCCCCAAGTTTTTGCCTTGTTGAATTTGATCATGCAAGGGAAATTTTTTTGCTCAGTACAAGGAGAGAAGACACTAATCAAGCGCATGAAAAGGGAAAAAACAAACATGTTGACACCATGTTGACCTCACCTTCTGCTTTAAGCAAATCCCCAATTAAGAGATAGACCTTACTTGTCATACCTCACATCCCACCAAACAAGGAGTAGCTAGCCATGCCCCCTCCCATGCCTTCTCAATGCCCAAGGCCCCAAATCAAGGGGAGGCCATGTAGTGTAGAATCTCCAAATCATGGAGAGCCATGCATTCTCTGCCACTACTTGGACTACAAAAGGGAGCACACCACCTCCAAGTAAAGGGAACCAGCGGCTGCCACTTCTCTAAGAGCTGTCCAAAGCTCTCCCAAACTCTCTATTTCTCTTCTATTAGAGCTCTCAAGCCTCTTTCTCCATATTTCTCTCATGTATGATGTACAATATAATCTCTATATTCAAATACAAATATAAAGCTATAAACTATAATGGATGTAGCCTCATTATGAGTGAACCACTCAAACACTTGTGTTATATATAATTATGTCTTAATCCGTTGTTTATAAATTCATCCGTTAACAAAATCGAAATACAACGCATAAATAATGTACGTGTATGCATGCATGGACCAAGCTATTGTCATATGTATTTGGTAGACCACGCTTGACTCAAACACCAACTTCTTCTTGGTTGGTTCTCCTTTTTGGCTTCTTTCCAAAATATCTCTCTCTTTTGGCCTTTTCTAAAATGTCCCTTGTTTAAATCCGAAGATGACGTATGAACAAAAAAAAAAATCCGAATATGATGTTGATGCTCTGGACATGTTGTCCCGTCCGTCCCTACATGTAAATGAAAAAGGGCAAAACCCCCAGACACCACCAACACAACTATCTTGTTCTAATCGGACGAGCCTTTACAGCTCCCAGTGAATCATTAGAGCACTTCCAGCAGCCCCC